CTTTAGTAATCCCAGCTGGCAACGGGACTCCAGGGCCAGGGCTGGGCCGAGGGGTTTTCTTGGCACTTTCTTTTCAGCACATTCTGTCATCACAAAGTAACTTTTAACAACTGTGTTTTCCTCCCCACAAAAGAGTAGAAAGTGTGTTTTGAGCTGGTTGCTAACTACATGCAAAACGTCCCTCCTTTTCCCCCTGAGTGTCTGGCTTTAAGGCTAAAAACCCGTTTCACTGGTGCTTGCTCTTTATGTGGGTACTTGACTTTAGACCAGGCATCCCTAGGCTCTCTGTGAGATTTCTCACGTTCACCCCTCATCCACCCAACAAGGTGGGTGGCAAACGGTGAGCCCATCTTTGTCAGGTGGGGAAACAGGGCAGACCCATCTAACATGGCAAGTGGTTTTCTCAAGGGTGTATGGAGAATGTCAGCAGCAAAAGTGAATATTCTTTGCATGACTTTGGTTTGTGGCCTCATGGCTACTCTCTCCCAAACACACGTGACAGAGTGCCATCCTGTAGGCATCAGATGCGCATTTGTTGTCAAGCTGCCAAGACATGCATTCGGCAGACATTTCTTGAACGGCTGCCACATACCATGCACCCTGACTCCCAAAAGCCAGCTATGCTCCCACGTAGGTCTCCTGAGGTTGAAGCAGCACTGGACACCCCTGAACACAGGGATCACGAGGAAGAGCAGAATTTCTTAGGATTTCCTCTATTTCATCCCAGGCTGCTTTTGCTGAGCTGTCTGTGTACCCACATGGCTCACTTTCAAGAGGACATATTTTAAGGCACTTGGCCATAGAAAGTACTAGACCCAAGTAACGTCCTAGGGTTCTTAAGGACAGGACTTGAAGCTTGGGAAGGAAGCGCCAAATGAGCTGCCGGCATGCAGGTGATGAGAAGGGCTCCGCCGTGGTGGAGAGCTAGGCAGCCCAGATTTCAAAGTGATTTCTACCTCCTAATGTTACAGCCATTAAATCAAGAATTTAAACCTTTAGCCAAAATGCCCTATTTCCTAATACAGAGTTCTTACTTGGCAAAATGCTGCTTATAAATGTCTCCGGCTCTTTCCTCTTCTCTCCAGCTTTCAGAGCTCAACCAAAGCCCATTTCATATTGAAAAAGGAACAAAGCAGTAGAAAGCAAAAGCACTAATGTGTCTGGGCTCATCCCTCGCCCCATTATTTCCTATCAAGTTTGAATCCAGTAAAGCCCTATAGTAATTCAGCCATGAACTTGTTGCGTAAACTGGGAGAGGTTTGGAGCATATGTTTTCAATTCATTTAAATTTGACTCATCAAAATAGGTTGCTTTTTTTTTTTTTCTTAGAAGAGCTATTTGAAGTTTAAGGAATTATTCCTACCTTTTAAAATAAACCTTTTAGAGTCTTTCTCCATTCACAACAGGAAGCTGCAGAATGCTAAGAGAACAGAAACACAAATGCAGGAGGGTTCAGGGACGGTTCAAAACTCAGAGCCATGAATTTAGAGAGGGTTCAAAAGTTGGCAAAGTGAACCCTCTCATTCCTACCCACAAATAATAAATAACCATCACAACAAGGAAGAGGAGAAAGGGAAAGCCACTGGAAAGCCATAACTTATCCTGTCCCCGGCCTTCCAGCTCTCGCCAATAAAGCAGGACTTCTTCGGAGAACTTAGGTTGTGCTGCCTGCAGGGAGCTGAGCTCGTCTTCCGCCGTAAATTACCTTGCTGGGACTAAGCTTTCCTCCAGGTCCCACAGACAGGCAGCTCTGCCAGACCCATCACCCAGCCCTGTGCTTCTTAAATTATCCTTCATCTGGTTGTGACAAGTGAAAAGCTAGAGGGAGAATGATCACCCCCAAATCTGACCTTCCCATACCACGAGGTCTTTTTTTTTACAAGGAACTATACCACAAGAAATAGACACAATAGCATTCTATCTGCAGACAAAAATAGGAGGAAAAATAGAGCTATCTCTATACTTCTCCAAATAAATAGTGCAATGTTTTCAAATTTGTCCACACGAAAGATTTTTTTTCATTGCCATGTAACCCTAAGTCCATTTCTGAACTGAGATAGCTGTAGCGAAGTTTAAAATCATCATAAGTGAGGATTGGAGGAAGATTTAAATTTTCCCCTTCATTTTCACTTTGCTATCAACAGCCCTGCTTTAGCTTTCAACCATATTCAGACGTGGACACACACAGACAGACATGTGCACACAAACTGAGGATCTAGAATATTTGAGTAAATGGCTGCAGTGCCTTGAAATGCGATCAAGCCTCAAGAGCAGGTACCAGGCCAAGGGAAATAACTCTTATCCATAAAAAGTTCCATAATAAATCAGTCGGCTTTTTCTTCCATATGTCACCTGACATGTTTAATTTGTCTGCTTTGACAGAATTGTGGCAAGCGGAGCTGACTGTTGGTGAAATTAGAATGGGCCTTTGTGAAGAAGGGCAAGATATCAGGCCTGGAAGGGTACAGTGAAGGGGTGCATGCAGTAGGCATCTGATAAATGTTCGTGGGCTAGCTCCGTGTGATGGAGGATACAAAAGAAGGGAACAAAGATTTCAGATGTTACAGGTTTAAAATACATCAAGCCAATGGGCAGACAGTAACAGTCATATTGTCCAAGAAATTTAACTTCTTCCTTTCCTCATTTGCTTCTCCCTGGAATTTGGCCTTTGTCAGAAACGATAGGAAATAACATAGACCTATTCATTTTCACTTCAGCATTTTACTTCTGGAACACAAGATTTACACCACAGACGGGAAAATGTGCTCTTTCCAATGTCTGGACCTTCTGAACAAGGGGAAGCTAGTGGATTTATTATTGTCAGGTTGGCTAACCTTGGATCTGGTCATACAATTTGTTATGAAAAGAAGAGCTCTTTACCTGGAGAAGGAACACACCTTGATCCAGCCAACAAAATGCCTTTAAACACCTACATCTCATTTAGGAAGAAGGATCGTGGTTACCATCTGTGAAGCTGGGTGCTCCCTTCCCTGCACCAGCTGGAATACCCTAACTGCTATGGGATCAGAGAAGAGACCATCTTCACCTTACTTCCACGTCTTTATGTACGGCAGACCACTTAATCTTACACTGTAAAGTAAGAATAATCTCTCCCCACTTTTGCAGATGAGTAAACTGAGACATGGACAGAGATCAACTCATTATCCCAAAGTTGCCTAGTGGCAAGACCTACACTCAAATCCAGACCACCCACCGGGCCACCCACATGTGAGACAAATTCCCTGTCAGAGACGTTTGCACAAGATGATTACTTAAGGCAAATTATTATTCAATTTACCATAGGTTAAATACATATACCTTAATTCTTTATTTTTGTTCATTTCCTTTTCTCTGTTTTAATACAATTGAAATGTAATATACACACATAAAAGTGCATAAACATTCAGCTCCACGAGTTTTCACAGGGTGCGTGGAACCAGCATCTGGATCAAGAAACAGATCATTTCCAGCCCACAAGCCTCCCTTGTGCCCTCCTTCAAGTCATTACTCTCCCATGCCCCCAACCTTTATACTTCTTTCCCCTTTTCTTGCGGGGCTGGGGGTGGAATCTTCGGTTATGAGCACGTTAGCTTTGGAAGCAGACTGCCTGGGTTGAAATCCTGCTATACCTTTTACAAACTGTACATCCTCGTAACTTCTCTGTGCCTCAGTTTTCTCAACATTAAAATGGGGATATTAATAGAACCTACCTCACGAGGTCATGGTGAAGATTACATGCCATAGTGCATAGAAAGATCAGGGTAAATGCAAAGCTCAGGGTAAGCCCTCAGGAAGCCCCAGCTGTTATTATTGCTGGAACATTTCCCTCCACTCCCAGAGACTGTCCTGGGAAGACCAAGAACGTACAAACACAGCAGAACAAGAGAGATGACAAAGGAGAGGAAGATAGAGGAGTCCCAACCAGGCCTGTGCTGTATGTCAATACAAGAATAACCACGTCTCCAGGTGGGGGAGAGGATCGGAGCTGAACAAGCTGAGGAAGAGTTAAATGAGACAGCTTTCCAGTAGCACAGAATCAAGTTTTCAGAGTAAAACAATTATTTGAAACATTCTATATTTTCTCATCAGTCCCACTTAGGCTCCATACATGTGTAAATATACATGACAAAGAGGAGGAGGCACGAAGGCTTTTTTAGATCATCCATGAGCTTTCCATGACTCCTAATAGTCTGGAATTGAATGCGTATTTTTAAATTTCGTACAATAGAAAGAAATGGGCATGGAGGTTTTTGTGTTGCCTAATTTATGATTTAATTCCTGACATAACTTTTCAGGTAGAATAGATTCAGACATTTTTCCGTGTCACATTTCTTTACATTTTTGTGCCACTTGAAGCATTTTTTACCCATTTAATTTAGGACTTCTCAAAATTCTCTGCAGTGTAAATCAACGGTAAATAGCTTATGTAAAGCATAGGTTCCGAGAAACCAGAAGCCTCCGGAAAATAAAAACTCAAGATTGAGAACTTGCTGTGCAAATTTCCTTTTTTTCCAGCCCAAAGGATGCATTTACTGCCACAACCACATATTTTATGAAATAATTAACCAAGTTAAAAAAGAAAAAAGAAGAATAAAAACATATTTCAAGTCATATTAAAAACGACAAGCATATAATACCAGTTTGAATAAGGAGTTGACTACAAGAAAGGATTAACCTTAATTTAGATTCCCAACAAGTATCAAATAGATTGAGGTCTGATATATTGATTTGTTAAGTTAAAATTGGATTTAGGAAAACTCAAAATGGATATGAAAAGAGGCTCATTCTTCATTGTTTCTTTCTTTCCTCTGTCTCTGTCTCTGTCTGTCTGTCTGTCTGTCTCTCTTTCTCATCCTTACCCGCCCTCTCTTGCCTCTGCAGTTTCTCATCTCGTACTCAATTGTGAGGTAAGCAGACCAGAGATAGCTATTAAACTCTCATGCTGTGCACTTTCCAGTTCTGACAGATCCTTTTACCGCAATAGAGATAACATTACTTACAGAGCTTTTCAACAGCGTGGCCATGTGGCCGGCCAGGGCCTCTGTCTAAAAGGAACAAAACGCTTCCTTCCTGGGTGGCTGGCTGTGAGCTGGAACAGTACGCGATGTTCAAGATAAGAAAACGGAAGTTCCAAGCACTGAGCTTGTGGTTTAACCAAATGAGGTAAAGTAAGGAATGGCCGAACAGTAAGAAGCGGCTTTATTAGCAGTGCTGTGTCCAAGCCAGTGCAGGCTTTTGGAATTGGACAGCATCTCCCTCAATCACCAGCGAGAAGCCCTTGTCCCAGCTCCTCAGCTCTGCGTAGATATAAATATGAGATGAAGCAGCTTTGTTACCTTTTAGGGATATTGTAAATACCAAAGAGATCATCATAAAGTGATTCTTAATGCCCTTGAGCTTGTTTTGAAAGATGAAATAAATTGCATTTATAATTTCCAGTCCAGCGGCTAAGGATTTTGTCCACCCATTTCTAAAACCAAGGATTACCATCTAATCTCTTAGATCCCTCCAACCCTTTGGAAAATTGGGCTCGCTCTGAGCAGGATGCTTGCCATCATCTCAGCCTCGGCAATTGGCCTTCAGACTTTGACTTGCGCGACCCACTCATGGACCACAGGCCCAAATTCTGTCCAGGACAAGCTCTGGTCACCACAGCCTTCTTCTGAACCTCAGGTTTTCCATCTGTAAAGTGGTGATGATAACAATATTAGTTCTTGCCTCAAGGAGATATTTCTGCTCAGCCTCCTGCAACCTCTAGTGAGCAGGGTAGTGGACACACTTGGCCACAATTAGCTCTGTGATCCTTAGCAAGTCACTTAACTCTTTGGCTCTCCATTTCCTCATCTATAAAATGGGAAGAATAAGACCTACCTCTTAGTGAGTTCAATGGCACACAACTCAATAAGCTATTATTACTGACTTGGCTCATCTTGCTTTGCCTCACACTTTTAGTCTCTCTTGTGTTCATGGGAATCTGACAGGAGCCAGTGATGTCCCTGGCTTTATCCTTAGCTCTCTTCCATGGACACAACTTAACTTCTCTCCCTTGTAGGTCAAGGGGCTCCCACCAACTCAAGTCCTACCTGTCTGGCTGAAGCTCACATGGGCTTGATCATCGCACACCAGAGGAAGGTGGGGTCGGGGTATGGACTGACCCCAGTCAGGGTGCTGTATTCTGTTTCCACTTTCTACTCTGCTTCCTCTCTCAGGAAGCCATTGCTAAGTCAACAAAATAGACCTATCCTCAGTGCCTAGATGCTCTTCCTTGACTCATTTCTTACGCTATCTTCTGGAGTGGTGCCCTCCAATTTGTCTTTCAGGCACTCCTTTCAGTAAAACATTTCTGAGTGCAGACACCAGTAAATGTTTATATATTTATAAATCATATTGTGCTCTGCTTATATGAATTGTGCATTCTGAAAATGCACACACACTACACAGAAATTTTAAAAGAATGAGATAAAGTAAGTGGAAAAAGGAATTCCATCATTTTCTTCATGCATCCCAACAGATCATCTTGGGCTATCCAACTCCCTGGTCCTGTGGGAAGAGTATTTTCCTATGGGATCCTGGACATCCCACCTTTGTGAGATGCACACACTATAAACCAAGGTCAGATCCACTGGTCAGAATGAGCCTCCATTCTCAGCACAGTAGCATCACTCTGTGTCAAGGTGAGCTTCATGGGTGTGACCTGAGCAGTTGAACAGGACCCATGCTTGGTCAAATTGCAGCCATCCCCATCTTAACATTCTTGAAAACCTTATCCTTGAACTTGTGAGGTCCAATGGGACAATGGAGCATTTGTGTGAGCAGAGGAGATGTGCACAATATGCGTGTCCCCTATTCCTCACTGCACCACTCATGTATAGCTTTGGCAGTGCTTCACGAGCACAGCATTCTGGTGGCCCCACCTTGTGTGGGAGTTTAGTGAGACTCAAAGTGAGTACAAAGTAAGCGTGTTATGAAAGCCATCTGCTTCCAGAGTGTGGTAGAATGTGCACGTTTCAAGAAGTGAAATGAAAACCACTGAGTTAGTTTTGTGAAGTGTTTCCACTGTTCTGGAAAGAATTAAATTCATATGCATGTGTGTGCTACGAAAAACAAATTGCATAATTTCAGTGATTCTGCATACAAGTTAAATGCTTTATATTTCCTTTCAAAACTGGCATTCCACAATATAAGGATGAATGGTATAATTCATGTTAGTAATTTAAAATTGTAATTTTTATTGACTTAAAATGACATTAGATAACAAATAGGAAACACCGTGAGAAGTTGAGAGAGAGACTGTGGAAGAAAGGAAAATGCTTTGTATTTTAATAGCTTTAATGCCCTTTTTTCTTGATTTTTGAACAAGGGGCTTTGCATGGTTATTTCACACTGTAACCATCTCTGCCCTGGTCCCCTGACCCATCTCCAAATGACCAACCCATCTCTATCAAGAGTGAGACCACCCCACTTCCTTCTTTCAGTGGAAGGAAGAGAGAAGATTCTTCCTCTGTTTTGCCCTAACGAAAGATCTGTCCTTCCACGACCGTGGTTAAAGCATTCAGTTGATTTCGTGCTTCACATTTCATTCATTCAACAAACATTTGCATATTTATATAGTTAAAATTTAAATAATAAAATGTGAAATATTTGCCCAAGAGAGTAGATAACTCTTTCACTGTTTCTGACACAGCCAAAAATTCTTGCTGAAATGGAAAGATCTCAGTTCAAAAGAATACTGCTATTGAAACTCGAGGGCTGAGCTCTGGATCAACCACCCTTCAGAATTCTTCACCCACACCCAGAAGCTAATGATTTCCAGAGATGGCCACAGTAAAGAATTCACAGGAACATGGGTCACTGTGTCAAGGATCATGTCAAGAAGAGAAGGTCACCAGTTCCAAATATTTCAGAGGTGAAAAGGTCATTCTTATAAATACCGTATCCTCCACATTCAGCACACCATGGTACGTGCTTTGTCATAATTTGGTGGGCCACCAGCTGTCACCAGTGGAGCCTCCAACCAAATGAAATTCCTCAGTCTTCACCATCCAGATGTCACTCCTACATCTTGGTTGACAGCTTCTTCCAGAAATGGACACGGGTCAGGTTTTTGCCTCTGGAGTCAACGAAGTCAATGGTTCATAAAGTGTAGTCCAGGGGCCCTGGGGGTTCCTGAGACCCTTCCAGTGGGTTCATCCAGTTAAAATTATTTTTGTAATAATGCTGAAATGTTATTTGCCTTTTTCACTTTCATTCTCTCTTGAGTTTACAGTGTAGTTTTCTAGAGGCTATCTGATGTGATGGGCTCATTGCTCTGGTGGCTAATGAATCGGATGAATATTCCTGTGTTTTAAAGATTACTCCATTTTAATTTCCAATATGGTTATTATTTATAGGTATAACCCAGATAAACATAAGCTCTCTTGGGGCATCAATGATTTTGCTGTGGTTGTTTGTTTGTTGTTTTGGTGAGGAAGATTGGCCCTGAGCTAACATCTGTTACCAATCCTCCTTTTGCTTGAGGAAGATCGGCCCTGAGCCAACATCTGTGCCAATTTTCCTCCACTTTGTATGTGGATTGCTGCCATAGCACATCCTGACGAGTGGCATAGGTCCATGCCCGGGATCCAAACATATGAACCCCAGTCACCAAGGCGGGGCACCCTGAACTTAACCACTATTCCTCCAGGTTGGCCCCATCAATAATTTTTAAGAATGTAAAGGGGTCCTGAGACCAGAAAGTTTGAGGAGAGCTGGACTAAGTGAAGTAGGTATTCATCACCTTTTCCTTCCCAAGAGAATTCTTCGTCATGGTCCCAGCAGTTACCAGTGTCCTTATAACTCACTAAGGAGGTTACCATGCCAATGACAAATGGGCAGATAGCTATAATTCAGCCTTCCTCATTTTGGCAAACAGAATACTAAAGATATACACTTGTAGCACTTTGAGAAGTGACTCTTCAGATGACATAAGCCACAAACTACCTTTTGTGTGAACAACAGGGTTTTAAATGTCTTTGCATAAGGAAGGGTCCCATAGATATGAATTTTTAAAGTATGTTTTAAAAATAGTACCTTGTTTCTCCAAACCAAAAAAAATCAGTTAAATAAATTGCATCTGACAGAGCATATCTCTGGAAAAGGAAATCTCTACTACTTCCTAAAGAATGTCTTCAACACACACACACGAAACCTTTCGTGAATACATATGGTATTTAATGCATACCTGTTATGGAACAACCAATGCTTTTACCTTTGCATGAACTGTGAGTCATTCTCTTGCCCCAGAGAGTACTTTCTGAGCTTCATAAATATTGATCATACTCCCCAAATTCTAACAGACAGTGTCCTCAAATATGAATGATGCTTCTCAACTTCGCTCTTTATTTTCTACATTCAGTCACATTCTTGACTACCACCGAAGAAAAAGATATTCCATAAAGATGGATACTCCTGAGAACCGAAGCTTAGCCACTTCAAATCCCAAGTCGTACTTTCATTCATTCATTCACTCAAAAATATTCTTGTACCACGAGCCAGGGATTGTGCCGGGCTTTGAGAACACAAGGACAAATACAGCAAATTGTGCCCTCAAAATAGCTCACCTTCTACTGGATGTTGCCTAGAATTTGTCCTAAAGTTTATCCCAATGGTCTTAAAAGCGGTGTGTGCAGAGAAAATATTAGAACTTCTAATTTAATTTTTATCTTGTGTATGTTTTATGATGTAAACAATAAATTAGTTCAGCAGCACGTGCATAAATTATAAATAAATAAAAACACACATCTGTTGAAAGTGAGTACCCCCCAAATTGTTAACTGATGAGGTGTGCAACTAAAAGAGGTTAGAAACACACTTTACTAGGCCTCCTTTTTTGAAAAGGAGTCAGTCTGTTGTCCTCATGAACACTTCCCTGGCTATTCACCAGCTGCCTGAGAGTTAATCGTAAAATTAGTATATGCTCTTAGCGGGTGGCTGTAAGGGAGTTTAGAAATGATATACTAGACCTTTTCTTTCACAAAAATAGCAAGACCCAGAGCAATAAGTGACTTGCCCAAGCCATTTCCCAATTTGGTGAAGGAGTTAGCCATGTTTTTGAAAGTGTGATTCTGAGTCACCATTACAGTGGGAGGGGCCTCGTGAAAATGGAGAATCCTGGGCTGAGGATGTGGACATTTTTGATCAGGATCTCCAGGGCCCCAGCCCCGGCTCTAGGCTCCGTATTTACAACAAGCTCCCCAGGAGGCTCCAAGCACTCTGCGGGTGGAGAACCACACGAGTTGGGAGATGGAGACTTGGCCAAGGTCTCTGTGTTCCCAGTACTAGGCTCTCCCCTTCAGGCAGGTTGTCTCGGCTTGTAGAGCAGGAACTACGGTGTTCAGTAACAGACGTGCCACGCTGTTTGACCCATTTGGCTGTGGATTGCTGATTTTGCTAATTCTGGGCCTGCTTTTCAGGGGCTTGTTTTTCTCTTTCTTTCATGTCAGGCTGTTTGCCATCATTTCTTCCTGCCTTCAGTGTGATCACTACTAATCGCTCTTCCCTCCTTCCTCGTGCCCTCTAATTTTCTGCTTTTAATT